GACAAGGGAGTCACGGAGAGAGTTGTCCCTCCGGAAAGCAGATAAGGGTGGGGAGGGAAAGATGTCTTTGGTGGTGGGGTTGGATTGCAGATGGTGGAAGTGTCGGAGGATGATGCGTTGGATCCGGAGGTTGGTGGGGTGGTACGTGAGGACGAGGGGGATTCTTTTTTGGTTCTTATTGCGTGGACGGGGTGTGAGGGATGAGGTGCGGGAGGTGCGGGAGATGTGGGAGACACGGTTGAGGGCGTTCTCGACCACCGAGGAGGGGAAGTTACGGTCCTTGAAAAACGACGACAACTGAGATGTACGGGAGTGGAATGCCTCATCCTGGGAGCAGATGCGGTGGAGGCGAAGGAATTGGGAATAGGGGATAGCATTTTTGCAGGAAGGTGGGTGGGAGGAGGAGTATTCTAGGTAGCTGTGGGAGTCGGTGGGCTTGAAATGAATATCGGTTTCTAGGTGGCTGCCCGATATGGAGACCGAGAGGTCCAGGAAGGGGAGAGAGGTGTTGGAGATGGTCCAGGTAAACTTAAGGTTGGGGTGGAAGGTGTTAGTGAAGTGTATGAACTGTTCGAGCTCCTCGTGGGAGCACGAGGCGCCGCCGATACAGTCATCAATGTAACGGAGGAAGAGGTGGCGTTTAGGGCCGGTGTAGGTACGGAAGAGGGATTGTTCCACGTAACCTACAAAGAGGCAGGCGTAGCTTGGGCCCATGCGGGTACCCATGGCTACCCCCTTTGTCTGTAGGAAGTGGGAGCAATTGAAAGAGAAGTTGTTGAGTGTGAGGACGAGTTCGGCTAAGCGGATGAGGGTATCAGTGGAGGGGGACTGGTCGGGCCTGCGGGACAGGAAGAAGCGGAGGGCCTTGAGGCCATCTGCATGGGGAATGCAGGTGTCGTGGGACTGGACGTCCATGGTAAAGATGAGGTGTTGGGGACCGGGGAATTGGAAGTTCTGGAGGAGGTGGAGGGCGTGGGTGGTGTCACGGACATAGGTAGGGAGTTCCTGGACCAAGGGGGAGAAAATGGAGTCGAGATAGTTGGAGATCAGTTCGGTGGGGCAGGAGCAGGCGGAGACAATGGGTCGACCAGGGCATTCAGGTTTGTGGATTTTGGGAAGGAGATAGAAGCGGGCAGTGCGAGGTCGGGGAACGATGAGGTTGGAGGCCGTGGGTGGGAGGTCACCTGAGGTGATGAGGTTGTGGATAGTTTGCGAGATGATGGTTTGGTGCTCAGGGGTGGGGTCATGATCAAGGGGGCGGTAGGAGGAGGTGTCGGAGAGTTGGCGTCCGGCCTCGGCGATGTAGAGGTCAGTGCGCCATACTACAACTGCGCCTCCCTTGTCCGCGGGTTTTATGGTGAGGTTGGGATTGGAGCGGAGGGCTGCACGTTCTGCAGGGGAGAGGTTGGAGTGGGTGAGAGGGGTGGAGAGGTTGAGGCGATTGATGTCTCGACGGCAGTTGGAGATGAAGAGGTCGAGGGAGGGTAGGAGGCCTTGGGGTGGTGTCCAGGAGGAGGGGGTGTGTTGGAAGTGGGAGAAGGGGTCAGTAGAGGGAGGGTTAGGTTCACGGTTAAAGAAGTAAGCGTGGAGGCGGAGGCGGCGGAAAAACTGCTCTATGTCCAAGCGTGAGCGGTATTCGTTGATCTGTGGGTGGAGGGGGACAAAGGTGAGCCCTTTACTGAGGACTGACCGTTCATCCTCAGTAAGGGGTAGGTCTGGGGGGATGGTGAAGACTCGGCAGGGCTGGGTGCTGCTGTCTCCTCTGGAGCTGCTGGCTGTGGAGGCTGTGGGCGGAGTTGCGTCGGCTGTGGGCGGAGTTGCGTCCGCGTCGGTGATGGGCGGACCGGCGTCGGAGGTAGGAGGAGCGGGGTAGGCGGCGGCAGTAGCGGTGAGGGCGGTACACACTTTAATGCAGTTCCACCTAGTTGGACCACAGTGGGAAGGTGGTGAGGATAAGCAGGGACTGGGACGGAGTACATCAGGCCCAATTGCCCTGTTTGCCTTGGGCTTTTGGGGGCATGCTGTGCTTGGGCCTGGGTGAAGGTGGGGACCCAGGCCATGAGCAACACCGTGACCTATGATCTTGTTCCTTTGGATAACTCCATAAAGGTTGTATGCAAGTTGACAAGGGCAAAGGATAGCTTGCCTTTTTGTCACAATCTCTCAGTATGTCATTTATGATTTTGGTCAGAGTAGTTTTGTGTAGTAGCAACAGTGGCAATCCAGACTGGAGGGATTCAAATATGGGGTTTGGGCTGGGGTAGGGGGTAGGTTTGAGAGGTGGCAATATGTTAAGGGACTGTGGAGAGGAAAGTGAGTTTGAAAATGGGGAGAAATTTGCAATAATAGTGAGAAGGGTATCCTTTTTAAGGAGGCTGGTGATGGTGGATGATTTAAAGAAAAGAGAGGCAGGAGTTGAAGAGCATATTATTAGCAAACTTTTGGGGCCAGAAAGAAGAATTGAGTGGTCTGCAGATTAATGGGAATAGGATTGAATGAGTTGAGACATGATTTTCATCAATAAGGTGAGCTCTGAGATGGCATGAAGCAAGAAGGAGCAACAAAGAGATGAAAGTTCAGGACTAGGGCCTGGTTTGGCCTGGTGGATTGGAGAGAAGTGGCAAAGACAGCTGATCAAATGGCCATCCTTCTTAGAAGGCCATGACCCGTCACATCTATTGATAGTTATTGTGGTGAAGGAGACAGGAGAATGGTTAAAGAAGACCAGTTGCATTAGGGAGAAGAGGCCAAGAGCTGCTCATTGCATTCAAGGAGGATCCTGGAGTATTGGGCTATTTTAGCAGACAAGAGTCAGATCTGGCAGTGCGTGTTCATCATATTCATTCAAGTCATCATCCTTTGGATTCACGGAAGCAGTCATGAGGATTTTGCTAGCTAAACGGCCAACATGATATGCTGGTTTTATTGGGGACACATTGTTGGCTATCA